CGGTAGCGTGTGCCACCGCTGCGCTCGGCCCGTCTGATGGCCCGAGCATAGGCTCGTTTCCTTCTCCAGTCAAAGTTGTGTGTTGAAACGTCCCCACCAGAGTTTTTCGCCGCGCCAGGCGCAGCTTCCGGATGCGAGTTGGTTGCGCATCCAACCCTCGGGTCTGACCTCCTGGTATCGTATTCCGATGACGTCATGAATCCAGAGGTCCGCGGGAATTGGGACCCGCGCAGCCAGAGCTGTGTTCCACTATAGATGCAGACGCTGTGACACAGACAGTACAGAAAAAGTATGCCAGCCATGAACCCTCAAAGAGGACCCTACACAGACGCCTCCCGTGCTCCAGCCGAGACCCTTAGTAGTAGTAGTAGTAGTAGTAGTAGTAGTAGTAGGAGTAGGAGTAGGAGTAGGAGTAGGAGTAGGAGTAGGAGTAGGAGTAGGAGTAGTCGTAGTCGTAGTCGTAGTCGTAGTCGTAGTCGTAGCAGCAGTCGGTTGTACAGGTAGGTAGGTAAGGAAAGGTAGGGTAGGTAGGACGGTGAGGGCGTGGGGGTATGCAGGCGGCGCTGGGCAGATGGAGTAGGATGGAGTAGGTGTGTAGGTGGGTAGGTGGCAGGCCGGAAGGAAGCCAGGTAGGTAGGCAGGTAGGTAGTGCAAGGCGATAGATAATGTGGATATCTTTCGACTATCCTAGCCTGAGAGTTTCCACTTCCCCTTTTTGAGGTCTCAGGTCTCGAGTATCTCGCAGCAGAGGTCGCGGCGTGCAGTTTATGAGTGCTGACACCCTCGGAAGCTTCGGGGCGGGCATGTTATCTGTAGCAATCGTTTGCGGCGAGACGTGCTCTCGCTAGCTCATCAGCAGTCCTGGTGAAGCCGTTTCATCAGGGGATAGGCATGGGCCTCCATACAGCTTCCGCCGTTCTGCAGATGCCCAAAGTGGCCAGCAACGGCCACAGCCCCGGAGAGGGGGCAACCTGCACCGCCTACCGTTCAGCGGCGGAAAGCCTGGCATCCGAGGTCATGTCGCGAAGGCGCACAGTCCCGATGGACAAGACCATTCTGGAGGTCGTGGAGAGATATTTTGAGATGTTAGTCTTCGACCAATTGCCAGTGCCGACCTTTCATCTTGCTCCGGCCACATGGATTGTGTTTGCCGGCATGAGGCCTTGGCGAAAGTGGACAACGTAGATGGCCTTACCGACAAAGAGCTGTGCGAGCTGCCTGTCTCAATCGTGCCGCACAGTCGAATCCAAACCAGAAGCCCGAAGTCCCGAGGAACTTGGAAGTCATGCACGACATCCTTCAAAGTTGCGAGCCCAAGCAGGCACGGGAACATGTGTTGTCTTGCGATGCTGTCGTGACATGCATCTGGACTGCAGTTCCTCAAAATTGACCAGATTCGCCGATAGCGTAATTTTGTTTGAGTCTGAAGAATTAGAGATCCTTCGATAGAGGCGAAAGGTAGCACGAAACGTGCAGCACAGCATCTATCCGGCGACCACGCCTTGCATTGAGAATCGCCTGTGTGAACTTTCTACCTACGTGTCACTTCCGCCACCAATCCGAATCAATCCGATCGACGTTACTTGCTTTCCAGGATGGAAAGTCGGCGTAGAATGATGCCAAGCCAGACTCTGACATGACGCCACACACCTTTGTTTGATCGCCCGCCCCCGGCCCGCCGTTTCCAGTGTTGAGTTTCCAAGGCCACCCTTGAGGTAGGGCATTTTTTGATAGTTTGCCGTCACTGTTTTTTGTTTTTAGTTGCTCTGTTTTTGTTGGGGGGTCGGAAGAGGGAGGGAAAGACGAAGATGCAGGCGCACAGAAAAGCAACGAGCAACGAAAGAGAGACAAAATGACGGGAGGACAGGAAGAAAGACATGACTCAAGAAAGACAGAAAAGACAGGAAGAAAGAAATAAATGAATAAGAAAAGACTGACGGAAAGAAGGAAATAATGAGCGACAGACGGGAAGACAGGAAGGAAGAAATAAAGCAAGAAATAATGAACGAAAGAAATAACTAAATAAAGACATGCAGAGCATGAAGACAGACAGACAGGCAGAAAGAAAGAAATAAAGATAGGAAGAAAGAAAGAAAGAACGAAAGACACCACGGCCATGTAAAGCAGCTCACACGATCCAGAAACGAAGAATCATGCTAAGCTTTGCCTATTGTCATTTTACTATCCATCCAAACACGAATAACCATGCCAAGTACTGCCTACACTCCTTTGAATCTACACCCAGCAAGTCAAACAGAAGTACTCATACAAAGTGTTTCTGATAATCCCTTTACATACTCCTGTGCAGCCTACACCATCCAAACAAGAACAATCATACTAAGCACTTTGCCATTACAAACGATCATACTAAGTACTGCGAAAAATGGCCTTTCAACTCCATTGCAACCCGCAACATGCAAACACGAAAATGCATACTAAGTATTGCCTAAACTCCTTTTACGATTGGATGTACGTCCAGGTGGCAGTATCAAGCAATTTCTTATCTCGTTTAGGTGCCAAGCGAATGTATGATAGGTTTTCTATGCATCATTTACAGGAGAGTTGTTGTTCATATACTGTGTCAGCACCACTGAAATGAGATCAGTTAGTACTTACTGTAGTATACTCGCTTGGTACCTAGGTCTCCCAGTGCTCGTATACTCTAACAAGTCCTCAACATAGAATCCGTTGGCGCATCAGGGAACTACAACCTGAAATTTGAAACCCCAAACTCCGGTCCCTGAGCCCTCCACTCCAAAACGCCCCACTGGAAACCCTGATCTGTGTACCCACAGCTCTGAACTCTAACGGAATGGTAGCAGGGTCCAGTCTGGCCAGGCCCCCGTCCGTTTGGCGGAAAGGGCTGTAGCGACTAAGCAGCTTAGTGTAGTTTAGTTATCTTATCTAGACGTCCCATTCGAAAGTCCGTTCGCTAGTTTCAGACTGTGCGGAACCCTGCTTTCGAATAACTAACTCCTTATTTTAAGAGATTCCCCTAGCTTCATGAAAAAAATCAGCCGGGTTCTGCTCGGGAAGCACGAGGATTCTCTTGAGATAACTCAGCCTTTGCAGGGTTTTGCGAAAGTCACGTACTTCATGTAAAGCGACGAAACCCGCAGCACGAACAAAAACACAAAAGCGAACATGACAAATCAACATCTCACAGAACAAATCATTGCTCCCTACCCTTGTCTTCCCGATCGCCGTCTTCTTCGCATCTGTCCCTCGTAGCCCTTGCCTTCGGGGCCAGTTTCGCATAGCTTAAAGCAGGTACCATCGCTAACTGTTCGAAAGCCGAAAACGAAGCGAAGCGCACGAATTTTCGGCACTGGCTGCAAAGCTGAAGCCGGAAGTTCCAGTCGCTGTTGCTGGCTGTGCCCCCAGTTTCTCCAATGCGCGGGTGGAAGGATTCTCTGAACAGCCGATCCGTACTAGAAATTGGTAATCGGCGAACCAACACGTCAGTGTAAGCTGACCTTTATTTCTGCCAGCTCGAAGCGTGGCCTTTGCGCAATCAGGTCCTCACGTCCCGGTGTTTGTCAGCCTCGGGTAGTGAAACAGCGGCAAGGCGGTGTTAACATGTCTTGAGTCTCGTTCTTTGTTATTGTCAAACCTCTGTTCTGGCATTTCTTCAAGAGCATGTTGGCATGCGTGTGCAGCTGCCTTGTGCGATCTTCTTCATCTCAAGTAGGTTCTGACGTACGAAGTCTACGAATGACGTCCTTGCTACGCCCAGCCATTCGGATGTGTTCGTCTGATCCTTTCGGCAGCTTTCCGACCTCGGCTCAAAGGATTCTCTGTGCAACGAGGCAGCTTCCGGAGACGCTGGTCATTCAGTGAAGACCGTATGCTGGAGCGACAAGGAAATGCAACCGTTCTTGTCAAACACTGTGCGATTGGTTCCATGCAACTCGCCTGCGAGTCTGACACCGTCGATTCTCGAAAGTCAGTTGCGAGCGGCGAGCCGCAACTTTCGGTTTGCGAAGCCTGGCAACACGCAAGAGCATCGGTGGACCGAAAATTCACTGCGTGTTAGAGCTGCGCTCGTTGAACAGTCGGCATCAACCTGCTTAGCACAAGAAACAGGGGACTGCATCCTGAAAACACTGGAGGTTGACATCATAGACCCGGTGTCTGAGAAACTAGCAAGGAACGCCTGTGCACAAGGTGATCAAGTACTTCACGCAGGATCACCCAGTGCTTCTGGATGCCATCCTCACCATGGCGAGGCATCGATCTGTGTCTTGGGGCCAGCCATTCCGCAGCATGCAAGATCTGTCAGGCTAGATGTGCTGCCTTTGGATGTTGAGGCGTTCTGCTTAGTTCCACTTGCTTGTCTTGTACCGCTAGATTGTTTACTGCGGCACTCAGACCGAGGTCAACTCAGTACTCGAGTTTGTGAATGAGCGGCCTGGAAAGCACCGCAGTTTACCAGCTTGGGAAGCAATTCTCGCCCTTACCAGCTCGTGACAAGGTATTCCTTTGTGAAGCTTACGCTGGATCCGCATGACACGGTCAAGGCGACATTGATGTAGATGTAACCGGAAGAAAAAGTGTCGACACACTGGACTATTTGTCATCGCAAGACCTTTCGGTGGGGTCAAGCTTTCGTCCTACCGCAGTATAGTAGTGTGTGTGGAGACGTGTGGCAGCAGTGGTTTTGCACAGGTCTCGAACGAGCGCTTGCAGGCCAAACCCTTGGGAGTGGAAGTGTTGTGTCGAGAGAGCGAATCATGTGCTTCGCTGATTGAACATAAAGAACTCTCCACAAGACGTATTGAGTCGAGGTAGAGGCATAGCAGGCGAGAGCAAGCTAAGCAGCGGTTTTTAGCTTTCTCGCCGCGGTTGAGACAGGTTTTTGTCAGCGCGTTTATGATGATTGGTGCCGGTGAGGTGACTTCTCATGACTTCGCCTCTGTGACTTTTCCAGAATTGCCGTTTGGAGCAGCCAGAGAAGCTAGACTGCACAATCAGGAACGTTGTCGGTCTTCCTGCTGCATTGTGCCAACGCATGCGCCGCTTTGGCTTAGATAGGGGCGGGAGTCGTGTTTGTGATCCTGAGGAGCTGACTTTTACCATGTACTTTACCGTGGATGACTTTGGCAGCGAGGCATTAGAGATCCGGAAATCTCACCCATCTGACATAGAGCCACATCGGAGTCTGGCGAGGAGAGCGACCAGAAAAGGTTTGGCTTCATATTCAACTCGCTTCGGGTGTACTTCTCACCAGAGCAAGACAATGCAGGCTGGACATTACAGATGCTCGTGCCGGAAACCCTTCGGAGCGGTGAGTGATAAGAGCTGCTTCATGATGGCGAGGCATCGACATGTTCCGCAAAGTCTTCCTTGACTGGGGCCTTGGGCTTGGTGCTTCGGAGTTTTCACGAATGCAGCCGCCGCTTGAAGTGGCAGGCGATGACGAAAAGCCGCAATGCCACCAGGTGCTTCGGAGAGCACACTTTTGTAAATAGTTGAAACAGGGAGTCCAGCTACAGCCTCGTTTGTGCCAGCCGTCAGATGAACTTCTCCTTCTTGGAGGGTGAGCGGATCCGCTGCGTCCTGAATCTGTCTCAGGCCTCGCGATATATATGTATATATATATACACACATATACATAAGCAGAGAAGAGTTATGCACCAGTTGTGATACTCCGTGAGAGTGAGTGTGTGTGTGTGCTTGTGTGTGTGCGCGCGCGCCCCTCTGTACTGTGTCTCTCGCTCTCTCGCTGTGCATGCAGCCATGTAAAACCTCGCACTGTCCCGTGACGATGATGTTGAAAGAGGCTGCTCAAGCGTTTTAGGGGTGCCAGCGCCCGGACAATGTCAATTGCCCTGTGGCATCCCAAGACTAGAAGGCCAGAACCTGCCTCAACCCTCAGCCGCAAGTTGGAGAGCTTCTTTTGTCGATCCATGATGGAATATGGGATCGTGCAGGAACGGCAGGCTTTCTAGAAGGACTCAGACACTGCCATGGTCAGCTTCTCTACTTTACAGCACTTGTCCGCTTCACTCATAATTCGCTAACACTGGCTCTTACGGTCTCCCACCTGGTAGAGAGAGAGAGAGAGAGAGAGAGAGAGAGAGAGAGTGAGTGATGGTTCAAGGGGGGTCGAGGCCGCATCTGCCCCGTCTCTCTTGTGCCTCGCTCTCCACTTCTCGCTTAGGGGCCTCGATTCCGCCTCAACCCGGGCGCCTTGCTAGGTCTGTCTCAGGAACCTCTGACGCGATTGCAGAACGTCGAGGGGGGCATCCTTGCGCTGAACACCGCAGGGGTCCGGAAGGGGGACATAGTCGGGAATAGTTCCGGACGTGATCCTTCCTCGAGGCGTGCGGGGGAGACTGCCAACAACTACCACACCGAGATCGGCGGCACTTCTCGCTGCCTTTGCCCTGGTGGGGATTCAGGACTTTGAGCAGGGGTCCTAAAGAATAAGTACGTTGTGCAACGTGACACTACCTCGAGTACGCTGAGAATGCATAGTACACTGGGGGCAGCCCAAGATGAGGGGGCGCAGCCGATGGAGGCCGACAGGGCACCCAGGGGGGAAGGTCCAGGCGCCTCCCCCACAAAGAAGAACAGGGTGGAAGAGCCCGTCCTCACCCTCACCATGCTGCGTACGGTGCTGGCAGAGGAACGTGAGCGTGACAGAGAACACCTGGCTGCCAGCCTTGCGGGGGTGAAGGGGGACGTCACAGAGATGCAAACCAAGGTCCAGGCAGTTGAAAACATTGTGGCGCAGCAGGTCCAGGACACAGTGCAGGCACTGGACAGAGTCACCAAGAGCTATGACATTCAAGCCAGATCGTTGGAGGAAGTCAAAAATGCCCAAAAAGAGCTGGAGGAGCGGCTCACCTCCTTGGAGAACAAGCCTCCCACCTCGACGGCACCGGGGAGCACTGTGGACACGGACGGGGGGCGAAAGCCGGCACTCATCATAGGAGGCTGGCACCCCGATACAGCAGCGGAAGAGACGCTTAAGGCAGCCAAAGAGGTCTTGAAGTCACTCGAAGTGCCGCTCAACGGGGAGGACCTCTTCGTCCCCGGCCTTAGGCGGAGGTATGCGATCTTGCCGCTGCTGCCCAAGCCCTTCGAGAGTGAAGACGCCCGCCGCAAGAGGGTGCAGGGGGCGATCCAACGAGTGCGCAACGCGAACCTCACCCTCGGCACCAATGAGACCGGGGGCATGCGGAAGCTCTGGATCGCCATAAGCCAAAGTCCAGAGAGGAGGCGCAGGGCAAAGCTTGCGGGAAAGGTGAAACGCACCATCCTGGAACTGGGTGGGGCGCACAAAGAGCTCGAGGTCGAATTCGCCACCGGCACGGTTTGGTACAATCGTTACAAAGTCGCCAGTGCCACCGCGGAGAAGCCAGCGGGGGCAGAAGCTGCTGGAGCAGGGTGGGCCGACATTCGCCTCCTCGCAAAGGCTATGGCCAAGCCGCTCAGGGAAGTTGAGGCGGCGTGGGAGCCCCGCAAAGCGGAGCTCCAATGATGGGAGACACTCACACAGTTTCACCGCACAGAGGGGGGCAAGCCCCCGAACAGCTGGAGAGTGGTCACCTGGAATGTGGGCGGGCTCTCGGCACAACAGGTGCTGGACCTAGCCCAACACTTCGCGGGGGACCCAGACTTCGCCTTGATGCATGTCTTGTTGCTGCAAGAAATTGTCACCGAGCCGGGGGTCTTTTTCCTGGAGGATCGTATACGGCAAGAACGCAGACGATTGGAGGGGGACAGCCATAGCATACTTAGCCAGCGGCCGCAGACACATCAACACTAGACTTCTCAAAGCAGGCATAGCCACCACCATTGCAAGCACCAAAGGAAGCAAGGGGATCAGGTACCTAGCAGGGCACATCCCCCATCACGCCACCATCGCGCAGACAGAGGCCATCCTGGGGGGATGGGAGCAGACACTCAACAAAACCCGCGTGATTCTGGGTTTCGATGCCAACGAGACCTTCACAGAACCGGACCCGGAGGGGTGGCGAGCGCATACAGGCAGGGGGGAAGTCATCCTCGAAGCAATGGCCAAACATGGCCTCCACGGGCCGCCGCAGGACCTGGACATTCCCAGCTACCACCCGTACAACACAGCACTCCGACCCAGACGACTTGACTACATCCTACACAGAGGCAGCCACGCCAGTCCTGGGGGGGTTCAAGCGGAAAGCAGGCACAGAGCGCGGTCGGACCATGACCTGGTCTGGGTCACCATGGGCGTTCCCCCCCCGCCCAAGCCAGCACAGCCCACCTGGGGGAGCAGACGGGTCAGACGCAACTCCAAGCCCACCGAGGCAGCCCGCCTCCCGCCCCCGCAGGCTGACACGCATGCGGCCATCAGCCAACTGTCGCTCCGAATCACGGAGCAAGGCCGGCCCAGCGAGAGGTTCCGGGAGAGCCACGCGCTCAAAGCCACCAGGAAGCAAGCGAGGGATGCAGTGGGGGGGGTTGCGCGGGCGCTGTGGAAGGAGGTGGCGCGCCAACGCAAACGTGAGTACAGGCGATGGCATGGGGAGTTGGTGGCTGCAGCAAGCACGGCGCACTGGGGGGCGTATCGGGCGCTCAATCAGATGAGAGCCAGGGTGGGATGGGAACATCGCCTCACGGACGACCCGAGATGGCAAACCCAGCTTGTCGAGCACTTTGGGGGGATCTTCGCCAAGGCACCAGCGACGCGAAGCAAGCTTAGATTGGGGGAAACACGCGCGGCACTTGCGGTGTTGTGCAAACACACCCCCTGGAAGCCATTTACAGTCGACGACTTGCAGCTGGCAACACGTACCTGGAAGAACAACAAAGCGACGGGGCCAGATGGGATTACCCATGAAGTGCTCAAGCTCTTGTTACAGGAGGAGGCTTGGACCACACGCATACTGCACATGCTCAATGACTTTCTCTACAAAGGCAGTCTCCCAGAGGGAGTCCAGCAAGGAGCCACCATTTTGCTCCCCAAAACCCAGGGGGACCCCCCCACATGGGGGGACACCAGGCCAATCACCCTCAGCTCAGCGGTCCTCAAGTGGTTTTCGCAACTACTCCTGCTCCGGGGGGGAAGACGTATTGAGCATGACGCACCACAGCAGTGGGCCGCCACGGGCAAGCAAGCGCCGGAACTTTTGGTAGTCCTGCGGAGGGTGGTCCGGCACGCAAAAGAATGGGGGGTACCCACCTGGCTAGTCAAGCTGGACATACGCAAGGTGTTTGATAGCGTCTGGCAAGAAAGCATGTCCCCCACCTGTTCAGTCGGATAGTGGCTGACTGCCTGGCGGGGGCGCTGCGTGACACGAACCACCTTCTCCAGCCAGCCAAAGGCCCCCCGCCCCCCGAATCTGGGGGGGCTTTCATGGACGACACGTACCTCTGGTCGCACGACCCCGAGCACCTCCAAGCCCTTCTGGGGCCCTCGAGAGAAGGCTGGCAGCCCATGGCCTGCTGATCAACCCCACCAAGACAGCTATTATCCACAGCCAGCCAGGGGGAGGCTCGTTTGTCATTGGGGGGAAGGGGGTTGCCTGCAAACCCTTTGGGGAAGTCATCACCGCGTTGGGGTCACCCATCACCTTCGGAGAGGGAGTGGCGGCTATCGTGACCGAAATGCATCACAGAGCCAGGAAAGCATTTCACAAGCATGCCAAGCTGCTCTGTGCCCCAACGCCGCTGAAAGGGAGGATTAAGCTGCGCCAGACTCTAGTGCGAGGAGCAGCGCTATGGGGGGGACAATCCTGGCCGGTCACAGACAGCATCCTCAAGGCCATCAACAGCACCCAGCTGGGACACATCCGGCGCATGATGCACCCAGCACGCCGACCGGGGGAAAGCTGGGAGCAGTGGAACATACGCACGATGAGAGGGGCACGTGTTGCGCTGCACCAGTCCAAGGTCCCCAGGTCCAGCACATTCCAGCTGCAGCACACGTGGGACCTATATGGTCATATGGCGCGAGCGTACCCCGGGGGGAGGCCTATGCTGGTCTGGAAAGACCTCAAATGGTGGGAAGAGGAGAAGCAGAAGCCAAAAAGGGAGAGGAACACACACGTCAAATACAACGCGCTAGCAGACCCGGAACGGCAGTTGACAGCCATTGCGGGGGTTGACTGGAAACGCACAGCAGCAGACTTCCACATTTGGAACCGCTTGGGGGAGGAATTCGTTGCGAGATTTGATGTACCCTGGGCCACAGGCAGGCAAAGCAGCTTGGGCAACCTCACACCCAACATTTCTGGGGGGAGCAGACGACACACGACAGCGAATGAGACGTTGCAGTGCATGTTCGGAGGACAGCCAGACGAGAGTTTTGCAGCATGCTTCACTTGCCGTTTGCACCAGTGAAGCAAGCGCCTGCCAACGCCTCAGTTTTTTCAGGTCAGAAAGCACCGACTAGCACCGCGCATACATGCAGGTAACAGCAGACAGAAGTAGGATGCACCTGTTCCGAGCTGTCACCCTACTCCTTGACGTGGCTGGGGCTTCGCGCCGCCAGTAAGCCCACGCCAGCAGACCCGGTACACCCGGCGCCGGGGCCCCACGACCCATGGGCACACACTTACCGAGCAGCTGCCGCAGCACCCGCGATCCCCACACTGCAGCTCAGGGGGTTCCAAGCGCCGCCACCAGAGCAGACAGAGCAGCCAGCAGAGGCAGAGCCC